AAAAAAAAAAATTGTTCCACTGTATCATCTCAACAAGCCTTTGAGATCCATTCCAAGCTCCTCAGTTTAGAAGGGACAAGAGAGCCAGGACTGGAACCCTGGTCTCTCTGGATCCATTTGCTTTGTCCCATAGTACTAGGCTGGGACATGGTGGGTAGGGGACAGGACACTTTCTGGCCTTTCTGAGGTTGTTAGGAGGAACTCTGCCAAGCCTGGGGGCAGACCCTAGAGAGAGAAGGGTGGCCCAGCACAGCTCACTCTACCTACTGAATGAATGAGAAGAGCTGGACCCTCCAAGGGCAGCTCTAATTAGGGGTTAAGCAGTGAGGGAGAAGGTGTAGGGGGTGAGGAAGTTGCAGTGGGGCATCCTGCTTCTCTGTCCTTCCTGGAAGCTCAGGAACTACCAGGAGCTTCACCAACCTGGTCTGACCCTGCTGACCTATCCCAGGCTGCACAAAGAATGCTAGTTCTGGCAGAAGCCTCCCAAGCAATTCTGGCTATAGGGCAGTGACCTAGCAAGGGCTGACACTAACCTGACCTTGGGCACCTGGGGCATGGGGTGAGGAGGGAAGAATTGAGGCTGAGTGCAGTTTGGGAGCTTGGGATACTGTGGGGGTAGATGGGGTGGGAGGGTGGGGAGGAGGAGGTGGGAGGAGGAGGGAGGAGCACACCAGATCTCCCTGCTACCATGGGATGCAGCCCGAGATCAGGCTCATGCCAGTAGCAGGTGAGAGAGCAGTGGGGGCTGGTCTCATCCCCAGAGTTGCACCAGGCTCCCAACAGGACCGTCTGGAAGTGTCCTGGGTAAGGGCACCAGGTCCTACTGCTTGCTGCTGTCTGTACCTAACTTCTCCTGCCTGCCCTATTGCCCAGCCGTGCTGGGTGTGCCTCCTGGGCTCCACCCTGGGTGTACCCACCCCCTCCTCATGGCCCTGCCCCAGAGCCCACACTCACCATGCGCCCGTTGGGGACGCCCAGGTGCTTCGGCTTCCCTGGCATGCCGCCTCCGATCACAGGTCCCCACCACAGGGGCTGCCCACCATGGGGACTGTGGGCAGTTCTGGCCAGACCCTGCACAGTGGCAGGCAGGCAGTGGAGAGATCCCGACTGAGCTCCTGTGGGCCCTCACATCCTGAAACACCAGCTCACTACCTCTTTTCTCTGCCACAGGAAGTGTCTCTATAGAAACCAAACCACAGAAAGAAGCAAGGTCTAAGAGAGCGAACGCCTCTTCCTACACACACACACACATTTGCGCACGCACACACACACACATTCGCGCTCGCACACACATGCTGCCAACACACCCTTGGCTGCATCCCACACAAGTAGCAACCCACAGCAGAGGTCTCTGTGTGCCCAGCCAGGAGCCAGCCCATTCTGGCCCAGCCTAGGGAGCTCTAAGGTCATGTCTGGATACACAGGAGAGCACGTAAACTAAACATACCTAGGAACCTTTGTGCACTGTGGCAACATTCCTGGGAACACACATAAACACGCATCTGTGTCTCCACATGTGGACTTTACTCAGCACATGCTTATACCTACTGTGTGCTGGCCATGTGCGTGCTCAGTACCCCTCCCTCCAGCAGTTGTGTGTGTGCAGAGTTACCAACCCTAACTGCAGACGTCTACAGGCTGTCTTCCCATATATGTGCACAGGTGTGTAAACAGATGGACAAGTTGCATGCATGGCCATGCACACACAAACCACTTGTGCATGTCATAAACACACAGGCTTGTCTGACATGGTAGCACGTGCCTGTAGTCCCAACTAGTTGAGAAGCTGAGGAAAGAGGATGGCTTGAGCCCAGGAGTTCAAAGCTACAGTGAGTTATGATCATACAATTGCACTCCAGCCTGGGCAACACAGTGAGAACTTGGCTAGGTGTGGTGGCTCAAGCCTGTAATTCTAGCACTCTGGGAGGCCAAGATGGGTGGATTTCTTGAGCTCAGAAGTTCAAGACCAGCCTGAGCAAGAGCGAGATCCCATCTCCGCTAAAAAATAGAAAAACTAGCTGGGCACTGTGGCTGGCACCTCTAGTCCCAGCTACATGGGAAGATGAGGCAGGAGGGTCACTTGAGCCCAAGAGTTTGAGGTTGCTGTGAGCTATGATGCCACAGAACTCTACTCAAGGTAACAGAGTGAGACTCTGTCTCAAAAACAAATAAATAAAACCACCTGAGCTCTCCCTCATAAGGAACACATTGGTATATAGTTATATGCATGCACCTGGAGAGGTGTGTGGGACAGGCACACCTGCACATAGACACATCTGTGTTCAGACACCCCAGTGACATATGCAACCATGAACATGCTTACCTACCTGGGGAGGGAAACAGATCAGGTATGTCTATGCCCAAGACATATGTGCATTCACACTACTCAGATAGAAATGTTACCTTGGGATTACTGTCTTAGTCAGTCAGGCTGCTATAACAAAATAACAAAGACCAAATGGCTCAAATAAAAACACTATTTCTCACAGTTCTGGAGGCTAGGATGTCCAGATTCAAGGTGCCAGATGATCTGGTATCTAGTCAAGCTCCTCTTGCTAGTTTGCAGAGGGCTGCCTCTATGTGGTGTCCTCATGTGGCAGAGAGCAGAGAAAAAGGAAGCCAGTCTCTCCTGTCTCTTTTTATAAGGGCACTAATCCCATTGAAATGGGTTTCCTGGCTCGGCGCCTGTGGCTCAACCGGCTAAGGCGCCAGCCACGTACACCTGAGGTGGCGGGTTCGAATCCCCAGCCTGGACCCGCCAAACAACAATGACGGCTGCAACCAAAAAATAGCCGGGCGCTGTGGCGGGCGCCTGTGGTCCCAGCTACTTGGGAGGCGGAGGCAGGAGACTCGCTTGAGCCCAGGAGTTGGAGGTTGCTGTGAGCATGATGCCATGGCACTCTACCCAGGGGGATAGCTTGAGGCTCCGTCTCAAAAAAAAAAAAATGGATTTCCTTCATGGCCAAAGGCCCCATCTCCAAATATTATCACATTGAGGGTCAATGTTTTAACACAATGAATTTTTTTTGGAGTCAGAGTCATGCCATGTTGCCCAGGCTAGAATACAGTTGTGTAATCATGGCTCACTGCCCCCTTTAACTTCTGGGTTCAAGTGATCATCCAGCCTCATTCTCCTGAGTGGCTGAGACTACAGATGCATGACACCACACTCAGCTATATATATATATATATATGTATATATATATATATATATTTTTTTTTTTTTTTTGAGGCAGTATTACTATATCACCCTCGGTAGAGTGCTATGGTGTCACAGCTCACAGCAACTTTTAACTCTTGGGTTTAAGCCAGGCGTCCTCAAACAATGGCCCACGGGCCACATGCGGCCTGCCTAGGACATTTATTTGGCCCACCAGGTGTTTTTGCCGCCACTGCCTGTCCTGCTTAGCAGCCGACTCGTCCTGGGGCCCGCAGTCCAGCCCTCCAACGGTCTGAGGGACATTGAACTGGCCTCCTGTTTAAAAAGTTTGAGGTCTTAAGCAATTCTCTTGCCTCAGCCTCTCAAATAGCAGGGACTACAGGTGTCTGCCACAATGCCCAGCTATTTTGTTGTTGTTGTTGCAGTTGTCATTGTTGATTTTAGCTGGCCTGGGTCAGGTTTGAACCACCAGCCTCGGTGTATGTGGGCACTTAGCTTCGGGCACCACCAGCTAGTTGTTTTTCAATGTTTTATAGAGTTGAGGAGGTAGGTGTGTGACCTCCACCCTCTCTTTTTCTCTTTCAGCTGGGTAGATACAGAAGATGAGGAGGACTAGGGGATTGTGGAATCACGAGAAGGAAGGTGCCAAGGTCTATGCATTAGTGCATGAAAGCAAACCAGCCATCACCCCAGTCACCAGTTTGGGGCAGCCATGTGAGTGAGAAATGAAATTCTTTGAGCCATGAAGCACATTAGGGACAAGGTTTTATGGAAGCTAGCATTGCCCTAGTTAATACACCTTTTGCCAGACAACTTGCTTCAGGCTTCCCAGATGGAGAATTCAGTCAGACTTGGTGGAGGGCAAGGAGTTGTCCTTGGTAAGGAGTGGAGTTAGGGGTTGCTTTGGGGCCTGGCCTATTGGCTGTGGTAGTCTTAATAAGGTGTACAACTGTCAGGGTGCCTATGAGGGGATTGTAGGTGACATGACAGGAAACTGCCTATCTGCTGTGCCACAGATCCACAGAGTGCTTTACAGTTTGTAGGGTCTTTTCTCAACATGACTTAATTTGATTCTCACAACCACTTGTGAAATGTCATTATTCCCTTTTTAGAGATTTGGGAAACTAAGGCTCAGAGAGAAGTCAGTTTCCCCAGGTTACACGTCCCATTAAAGATCTACTAAGCTGGCTCGGCTCCCATAGCACAGTGGTTACAGTACCAGTCACATACACTGAGGGTTGAGGGTTCAAACCCAGCCCGGGCCAACTAAGCAGCAATGACAACTGCAACAAAAAAAATAGCTGGACGTTGTGGCAGGAGCCTATAGTCCCAGCTACTTAGAAGGCTGAGGCAAGAGAATCACTTGGGCCCAAGAGTTTGAGGTTGCTGTGAGCTGTGGTGCCAGGGCACTCTACCCCATTTTGACATAGTGGAACTCTGTCTCAAAAAGCAAAAAAGATCTACTAGGCTGTGAATGTGCCTGCATCACCATCAGCCCCGGTGCTAGCAGCTCACCCCCTGCTAAAAGCCCAGTCACAGCCTTTGCCTGGGACTCCCTTTTAAGTTTGTCCTCCACTTCTGCCTGCCACAGAAGTTCCTATTCCTATCCCCATCTCTGAACACATCTTCACCCTGGGACTTACCTGGTTTTCTGCACTCCATGAGAGTGCTGCTGTGCCTCCAGTCCACAGGACATTGTTCTCAACTTCTCTTGCCCTGGCTTCTCACAGGGCATGAGTTACTGATGTCTGGTCTCTAACTGGTACTTCTGGCCTTCCCTCTCTGTGGAGCTCATCTTGGCTTAGGCCTTGCCCTTTCTCCCCTGGTCACAGTGAATTCAGTCTCCCTACCTGCAGCCCCTCTGATCTTGTCTCCTCACGATAGCTAGAGAAATCCATGCTTAAAAAGTACACTGCTTGGGAGGGGAGTGGCAGAAGATTTTCCTATGTAGTCCTGGGAAATGGCCATTTTCCTAAACTAGGAATTGAAGGCCCTTCAAGCTTTGGCCTTAGCCACCTGCCAACCTTCTGCCTCTTGGATTTCTCAGCCATTCCAAACTGCTTGTATTCCTTGTGCTTTCAGGCATCCCTCCCTGGTTATGCATCTCTTGTTTACCCTGCTGAGAATGGTTTTCCCTTTCCCAATAAACTCTTTTTTTTTTTTTTTTGAGACAGAGCCTCAAGCTGTCCCCCTGGGTAGAGTGCCATGGCATTAGAGCTCACAGCAACCTCCAACTCCTGGGCTCAAGCGAGTCTCCTGCCTCCGCCTCCCAAGTAGCTGGGACCACAGGCGCCCGCCACAGCGCCCGGCTATTTTTTGGTTGCAGCCGTCATTGTTGTTTTGGCGGGTCCGGGCTGGGGATTCGAACCTGCCACCTTAGGTGTACGTGGCTGGCGCCTTAGCCGGTTGAGCTATAGGCGCCGAGCTTCCCAATAAACTCTTACTCAGTCTTCTTCATGACCCAATTCTAGGTTCTAAGATAACATTCATTCTTTCACCAATTACTTATTAATCATAAGTAATTATGATTAATTGCCATGCACTGTTCTAGATGCTGGGTATTCAGTAGTGACCATGGCTGACAAAAATCCCGCCTCTCATGGACATCTGGTGGAATGTGCATGTCCTTGTTTATACAGGTGTAGGCAAATCTCTAGAAAGGTACACTGCTTGGGAGGGGAGTGGCGGAAAAGTTTTTATGTGTTTGTATGTCAGTTCTCTCTCTCTCTCTCCAAGCGCACACACACATGAAATGTATGACTTTAATAACTGAAAAAGCTAATTAAAAATATATGACCCTTGCAGGGAGGAGGGAGGAGGGGGAAATAGGGAGGAGGGAAGGGGAATTGGTGTGCTACCACCTGATGGACACAATGTAAGGGTATATGGCACAGCTCCTGGGTGCAAGACACAACTTACAGGCACCTCATCTAACAAATGCGAACGTAACCTAATTGTTTATACCCTCATATTAATTTGATATTAAAAAAATATGACCCCAAAACGATGTCTCAGTACTCAGTCTTGAATAAATTCTTTCAGTTCAGGGTAGATTCTCAAAATAAAGGAGCAAGCAAGCAACATCCTGCCCTATGATCTATAACAGGAGTCATTAATTCCAATGTCAAGAGGGGCCAGGCAAGTGCTGTGAATTAGTGGCCAGATGGGGACTAGCTTGGAAGAAGCAGCCCTCTGTAGAGGGGCTGTCCCATGCAGCTCCAACCCATCCTTCTTTTGTGGAATGAGGGCCTAGATCTTCCCTTTTTCATGAAAAAAAAGGAAGTCAGGATTTCTAATATGGATCTAAATATCCAGTTTCATTTAAATAGAATTAGCAGGTAAAACAGAGCTCTATTCAGCTGCAAACAACCAATTTTCTTTTTTTTTTTTTAATTTAATTGCTTGGCTGGGGCCAGGTTTAGAACCCACCACCCTTGGGATATGGGGCTGGCGCCCTACTCACTGAGCCACAGGCGCCACCCCAACAACCAATTTCAACCTCTAATTTACAGCCAGCTTTCCTGGACCTTTCATGGATGCTTCTTGCTGCATCTGCACTGCATTCATTTGGATCCCGATGAGGACCTAGGCCAGGATCTGGGCTGCTCCTCTTGCTTCAACCTGACACTCTGAGGATGGGGAGTGGGGGTGAGGGGTAGAGGAAGTTCTCAAGTAACTGGGAATTCTGAGCCTCCAGAGTCATGAAGCTGGGACAGATGAAGCCAGAGACGGCTTAAAGGCTCGCTCGCGCTACCCCGTGAGTTCAAGACCGCGAGGGGTTTGGAATCCAGACCTCCGCTTTCAATTTGACCTCCTTTCCCCCCAGACCTGGAACGGTTATTCCACACATGCAACGTGTGGCCAAATGTCCACAGTATTGTAGTCTTTGGGCGTCCAGCCCACTCGGGGGGCCCTCAAAAACTACAAGTTCCAGCATGCTCCCCGTCACAAGCACCCTCTCTCCGCTCGCTGCCTCAAACCATCTCTCTGCTCCTTATTAGCTCTCAAGCCTAACGTGCTGTTCCATGATTGGATGTAGCTCTTGTCGCTCGTAAGAACTTGTGGCTGAGGCTAGGCGACAGGTGCTTTGGAGTCATCCAGGAGATGGAAAGTTGCTTGACCAAGATGAGGGGCTGCCTAACCAATAAAGTCGCCACCCTCTCAGCTGCTAGGCTATACTTTTTAACTCCTTGGAGAAGCTAAGGTTGAAGGGCTTCCGGCCGGAGACCATTATATGGCACACCCGGAAGGCGGAAGTTCTGGGGGCGGAAGTGGCGGAGAGCAGAGGAGAATGGCGGCAGAAGGCTGGTTTCGGCTCTGGGGCTGGGGCCGGCGGTGCCCGGGAAGTCCTAGGCTTACCGGCCCCGGCCCTGGCCCCACTACACCTCTAATTCTTCTTCTGTTTCTGGGTTCTGTGGCTGCGGACATAACTGATGGCAACAGTGAACATCTCAAGCGGGAGCATTCGCTCATCAAGCCCTACCAAGGTGAGGCCTTTGGGGCAGAAATGGGTGAAGAGTGAAGGCGAGGCTGGTCAGGCGTGTCCTTTCTCTAGAGCAGAGAAGCTCTTTGGGTTTTCTGTCTCTGGCAGGACGAGTACTGGCATAGCCTCTTACACACTTGTCTATGCCCTTTTCTCTGCCCACAGGGGTCGGTTCCAGTTCCATGCCTCTCTGGGACTTCCAAGGCAGCACTATGCTCACGAGCCAGTATGTACGTCTGACCCCTGACGAGCGCAGCAAAGAAGGCTCTATCTGGAACCACCAGGTGAGTGTTTCTCAAGAGCATACTGTCCAGTTAGACACTCTTCCTTGCCTTCCCAGTAGCTAAGACCTTGGTTTATAGGCTTGCCCCTTCCTCCTCAGTACCCTCCCCATTTTGGTCGCACTAATAATAGCAAGTGAGGGATATTGTGTAGTTACTGTGTCAGGGGCTGTGCCTGGCACCTTACACCCTCACTTAATTTCTAAAAAAGCTGTGCGAGGTAAGTGATGGTATCGCTTCTGTTTTACCACTAAGCAACTAAGGTTCAGAGTTCAAAGTGCCTTACTCAAAGTCACATAGCTAGGAAGCAGCGAAGCTGTGGGCTGAGTTGAAGTGAACCCCCTCAATAGTGGGAAGAATGGAACAAACTAGATCTTTTGGGGGTATTTTGCTTGTATTAGGTAGTGACCTTCCTATGCCTTATGTTGTATTCAGTCTCAAACTGGCTGTTTTAAATGATGGCTTTCATGGTTTTATGTAGAGATAGCCAGTGACTGGAATAACCTACAGTTAACCTATCAGACTGATCTGTCTGATCTCCAAGCCCACAATTCACTTGATGCACCTGACTCCTTTCTCTTGGACAATAGAGGAACCCCTTAGTGCATGTTTGAGGGTGTTGTCATCAGTGGTTTGAAGGGACTGGACTTGGGGGCAATTTTAATTTCTGTGGCCATTGCCTCAGAGGGGCATATAGTACATAAACAGAGGCCAATACCAGCTGCTACCCAGATTGCACACTGAGGAGGTCTAGATGAGGAAAGGGGTGAAAGAGGAATGATTTGGGCTGGGTTACACGTGGAACCTGCTTCTGCAATAGCCTGCGTAATCCTAGCCCTTCCCACACTTAAGCTGCTTAAACCAGTGTCCTAGTTTTCTCCACCATCCTGTTCTCTGGTCCCTTCTGGTTGACTTTCTCACTTAGTTTTGGAACCCACGCTGTCCTTGTGTTGCCTCATCTGACTATCTCCTCAGCTTCTCCTCTCCTTCCTGCCCTGTGCCCCCACACTGCTGTTACTGGTATCTGAGGTTATTTTCTTCAGCTTTCACTTTGAACATCAGAGCCTGGGGTCTTCTGTGAGGGCATAAGCATGCATTTTGTCTACACAATCTGGTCCCTGTTTCCCGATGTCTCCAGATACTCTGTTAATTTTGTTCTAGCATCTCTGGCTGCCTTTTTGCCTCAGGACCTTTGCACATGTTGTTCCTTCTGTCTGGGACACTGCCTCCTGGCTCTTCATGCCTGCCTGGCTCCTTCTGGTCTGTCAGGTCTCAGTTCAGCTGCCACCTGCTCAGGGTACTTCATTAACCATCTTGTCTCCCTGAGTGGGATTCTGTCACATTTTTCTGTCTTAGGACTTTCAGACTTTTTTTTAGGTAATACTACAGCCTTATTTTTTTTATGGAAGTGAGTTCAGAGTAATGTTAATTTCTTCTTTTTTTTTTTCTTTAAAGCAAAGTACAGATAGTGCCAGGATTGTTAGAAATGGGATTTAGGCACAAATAACAGACACATCTAGGACAGTGGATTAAATTAAGGTTGTAGGTAGCTGGTGATTGACATTGTAAGTGCTTAAAGATGTCACAGGACTAAGAGGATTCTGTGTTTAACTTCACTGAATTTTCATAGTCAAAATGAAATATAATCATTTTGCCTGCCTTCCCCATTCAGCTCCAGGGACTTTTCCTTTATGGCCCTGCTGATAGTCCTTAAAGGTCTGGAGTGGTTCCTATAATTCTGAAAGAGATTACTTAGAGTTCTTAGAATTTTCTCTCCAGCATTTCCCAAAAACAACCTCTTCCTTCACTGAGGTGGAGAGATACTTTCTGAACTTTTCTCCTTTTTGTCTCCTTCACTCACTCTATTGGGAGGAGGCTCACCCTCAGACAGCTTCTGCTGTCTTCAGAGCAACTATAGTGTGGTCCAGATGAAGGAGAGTAGCTAAGAGGTGATTAGAACTCTAAGTGCCTGTGTGAAAACCCCACACTGTACCCTAGAAGTGCATTAATGTACATAGTTACCATTCAATAAAAAAAAAAAAAA